CGATAGGTTGTGTAACGATCTGGTGTTTATGCTCGGATATGTACTGTTTGATGGTGTGGTGTTATGCTCTGGTCTGTCATAGCTGATAGTGTCGTGCTGTACGATGTGCTGCTATTTAAGAATGCCGCTCTGTCATGTTATACACTGTCGGCGCGAGGCGGGACACTCGGGAACACTCCGGAGACCTGGGGATCTGGCGGCCGCAGCATGCAGAGTGGCGCGAGGCGGGGCACTCGGGAACACTCGGGGGACTTGGAGATCTGGCGGCCGCGGTGTGCAGGGTGGACGGGTCGGGAGGTCTGTTTTTTTAGAACCCAACGGCCCCAATCCGTCGGGTGGGACACAGAAACCCAATCGTGTCATGTGCAGTCAGAAAAAGAGAGCTGCGTACCTAGGAGGAGGAGGAGGAGGAGGAGGAGGAGGAGGAGGAGGAGGAGGAGGAGGAGGAGGAGGAGGAGGAGGAGGAGGAGGAGGGGGAGAAACTGGCGGATGAGCAGGGGGAAAAAGAGGAGGACGAGGAAGGAGGAGGACGATGACGACTGCCAGCAGGAACAGGAGTGGAAGGAGCAGGAGGAGCAGGAGCGACCAGGCGAAGGCCGAGGAGGGAAGTGAAGAGGAACGACTCGCGCCCAGAAAGGTGGCCCGCGCTCGGGCGAGACCGCCCTTCGGAACGACTGGAGCAGAGCCCCGATCCCAGCATGAGGTCCACGCCGCAGCGGGAACACCGAGCTTGGAAGGACCCCAAACGTTCGGATGGGAAGACGAGCACACACGGCAGAGCCAGCTCGGACCGATCGCGTGTGTGTAGAGGACACAACTGCGCGGAGAGGGGGGTTGGCCGCGATTCGCTCAGGCCGTTTCTGATGGGGCAGAGGTGACCAGTGCTCACTCACATCGAGTATTTGTGGAGATTGGCAGCGCGCAGAGGGGGGGTTAGGGGGGAGGGGGAAGGCTTATTAGGAACACACCTGCTTCTCAGAAGGCGCCGACCTTGTCTGCAGATGCAAAGCCGGCGCCTTCTGAGAAGCAGCCTCCTTCTAAGAAACCTTCCCTCTCGCCCTGCCCCCCTCTGCGCGTGGCCCAGGAGAGAGGGAAGCGAATCGAAGCCTGCTCGGACGCCTGTCGGAAAAGCGAGGGGTGCTCAGATACAAGCAATCTCCCTCTAGGCGATGAGAACCACCACTGCTAAGAGCTCACGTAACGTGCGGGTGCTCAAGCTGGCGCTGTGTAGGTGCCCACTTGCCTGTTTTTTCGAGGCGTGGCCCCCCCAAGACCTCTCGACCACTTCCCCAGGACTTGTACTGTTTTTCCATCCCGAGTCGCTCGTTGCCAGTCCCGAATTTCAGAACCGCCCTCCAGAGGCCAATCATCAAGACACACAAGGCGCCTCGATTTGTATGGGGGGCGGGGTGCCTGGAATGGACCGAGAAAGGAACACAAACACCTAGAAGGCTCCTACCAATCGCCCTAATCCTCATCCTCATCCTCGTCTTCGTCCTCGTCTTCGTCCTCCTCCTTCTCTCCTGCATCTCTTCCTCATCCTCCTCCTCCTCCTCCTTCTCCTCCTCCTCCTCCTCCTCATAGTCCTCCTCCGTGGAGGGGAAGGGAGTGGGAGGGGAGGAGGTTGCAGAGTCAGGGGGAAGCCGGGAGGGGAGGATGGGGGAGAGAAGATGGAGGAGGAGGACGAGGAGGAGGAGGCGCAGGAGTGGGGAAGAGGAAGGCAGATGGATAAAGAGGAACATGGGCGGGGAACGGGAGGGACACGTCGAAGGAGAAGGGAAGGCAGGAGAGCCCAGCACTGAATCGACAAGTCGGATCGGCGATCGAAATGAATCGGATCGGCGGAAATCGGCAGCCACGCAGGGAGAAGTCGAATCGGCAGAAATTAGCAGGCTAGTAGGCCTCCGTTGAGGAACCGAAATCCAAATCGGAATCCGAAGTCGAATCGAATCGGAATCGGAGGCCATCGAAACCGAATCGAATCGGAGACGTCGAAATGAGCCCCTGGGAAGGCCCCTCCAGACCGCAGAAGCAAACAAGGGGAGAGTCCGTGACAGCCGAGGCGGGAGACGCGGCATGCGCCGCAGGCGCAACACCACGTGGCAGCAGAACGCTGCCAGCGGAAGCCACAAGCACGAACCCCACAACATTCGCGCACACAGGTTCGGGGATGGACAGACCTCCCTTTAGTAAAACGTGGTTTAGTGAAAACGACTTCGGGCCCAAACCTGGCGGGCGCAAGCCTGGAAAATAACGGCCACGGCGCCATCTCGAAAACCGAAAACGGACAATTCACTAATCGACGTGTCACTGTTGGGGGTTCTGTCCACCCCCGACAGGTGACGGACAACAAGAGTGTCTGGCGACCTCCGGCCCATCCCGCCACCCTGCTCGGACCGTGGACGAACGTCTCCCAGGCCTGCTCTCGGTGCCTCTCTTGGGAGGCCCCTCTGGGGACCTCGAGGAAACCGCCTCTGTCGGGGGCTTCTTGGCGCCTCTTGTGGGCCCGGTATCGGTGCCCACCGGTCGGAAGAAGTAGATCGAAACATGAAGGAGGAAGGCGTGGAACATGTATTGGGCTCCGCCCGCCCCCCGAGGAGGACGGGGACGGGGAAGCCACGCGATCGCTGAAGCAGGAAGATGCGCTTACTTAATAGACTGGCATCTGGGAATCCGGAATGCCTACCTCCAACGGCCCATGGGTGTCGGTACAAAGTTGCTACGCCGTCCCCCGAAGCCTCGACCCATTCCCCAGGACCGGTTTCTCATCCTGAGTCGTTTTTTGACGGTCCCGGGGCCCGGCGAGGGCCCCCAGAGGCCGGACATCGAGACAAACCTTCGTCTTGATTTTTGTCAATGCGTTGGAGGTCTGGGCAGGCAGCAGATTTCGTACCCCCCCCCTTTCCCAATCCCCCCCCCCTGTGCGTCCGGCCCGAGCGGAGCCGCCGAGAGAGCCCCTGGCCCGACGCAGCCTCTTGCGACGCAGCCCCTGCCCGAGCTCGCGTCGGGCGAAAGAGGGGAGATAGCAAAGGGGGGGTTTGAGAATCGGCTCACGTGGCTGATTTTCCCGGCGCCTCCCGGCGCCGGAGGCGGCTATTTATCGAGGAACGGGCCCCTCGGTGGGGCCGAAACCAGCTGCATGCAGCAGATTTCGTACCCCCCCCCTTTCCCAATCCCCCCCCTTTGCGTCTGGCCCGAGCGGAGCCGCGAAAGCGAGCCCCTGCCCGACGCAGCCTCCTGCGGCGGCCTCGCCGGGGCCCGCGGCCTCTCCCGCGGCAGGGGCCGGCCCGGGCGGGTCGGGAGGCGCGAGGGAGGCTGCAAGGGCCTTGGAAGGGGCCCCAGGACACACAAAGAAATACACACAGAGGAAGATATACCCTTATACTTTCCCATGCTTTTTTTTTGGGGGGGGGGGTTCGACTTCGACACACAAAGAAATACACACACACAGATAAAACATATGCCCCCATACTTTCCCATGTTTTTTCGGGCTTCGTCGTCGCCCCCACGTCCCCTATGTTCCCAGATCTTCTGGGGAGAGTCAGCGATCAATTGTGCCTGTGCGTTTTTTCCCCTCCTGGGCCTTGGACGCCCGTTTCGAAGCTTTTCGAGCCGGGCGCGGCCAACGAGGGTGGCCAAGGATGGGCCGAGGAGGTAAGGATGCAAGGGCACCCGGCCTTCCTCCTGGAATCTCTGTAAAGGCCTCCCAGATGGGGTTGGAGCTTGGCTGCCCCGATACGCAGCACGCAACACGTAGCGTGTTGACACGGAGCGCAACACGTAGACTGAAAACGTACGTTTGGCGCGGCAAGTTCCCGAAAACGTGGACCAACACGTGCCGAGCCAATACGCAACGTGTGAGCACGTACGTTTTGAACACGGTACGTGTTGCGTTTCAACACGGGCGTATCAGGGCAGCGAAGGGTCGGAGTTGTTGGGTCGGAGGATCGCGCCGCATCGCTGATGCGTCGCCGATGCATCGGCGATGCACTGGCGACGTCGGCGACTCATCGGCGGCGTCGGCGTGGAGAAAATCGGGCTCCGCATCGAGCCGCATCGCCGATGCATCGGCGATGCGGCGCGAGCCTCCGGCAACACCTACGCTGACCCCATCGGGGAGGCCTAGACTCTAGACTCTCCCGCACCTCGATCGGGGTGGACGAGAGGATCGACGATCGAGGGTGGAGGTTCGACGTCTTCCTTTCGGAGATGCTTGGAACCTCTGGAAGTGTCATGGGACCTTCTTGGGGGCCTCTTGGGCTGTCTGGGGGCGATCTTGCGAGACTTCTCGGCCGCCGTGGACGTTAAGGAAGCCTAAGAGGCGATTCCACTGAAAATATACGCTTGCCGAAAAAGGAATGAGTGGCACGATGTTTGCCTCTCGAGGCCCTCTTGGGACGGCTCCTGGGGCTCTCTTGGGGCACCTTGTGGGCAACCTGAGCCGTCGAGGAGGCACATGGGACCGTCTTGAAGCTGTCGTGGACGGCTCTGGGGCTCTCTTTAGCAATCTGAGGTGGCTCTGGAGTCGGGGATCTACTGACCTGGGTCAATTCAGCAGTGCAAGAATCTTCAAGATCCTGCAGGATCCTACACCTAACCCTGTTCAGTGCAATCCTGGCTCTGCAGGATCCTGCAAGATGCGGCCCTCTGACTGACCTCGTTTGCATTGACCCCCGTCTCTTGAGCCCCGATGGAGACAGTCTCGAAAGTTCCTGGCAACTCCCAAGAGCTCCCAAGAATTCCTGGGAGCCCCTCAAGAGCTCCCAATCAATCCGGGCATCGGCTGGGAAACTGGAGGTCTGGGCCCTTCAGAGCCTTACAACCCCTGGACCTTCAAGGGCAGCATGAGCCTTGGGGCACTCCACTACGTGCTGAAGGCACGGTGGCGGATACGCTATGCGCAAGCCGTGCGCAAAGCAACATGGGAAATACACAGAGGGCGAAACAGAGACAACGTGATACTCATACGCCCTGTGAAAACGAGAGCCGAGACGATGCTCCTTAAACTCGATGTCAAGCTTGCCGTTGACTCGCTTGGCGGTGACGGTCACGACCTCCCATCCCAAGTTCGTCTGCACCTTGATCACGTCGCCAACCTGCGGTCGGTCTGGGGTGGCAGTGCCAAGTGGATGTGAGCAGTGCGCAAGACCGCGATGCCCAGGCTAATATTCACCAATGGCTGCACTTCATTCGACAACGAGGTTGCGTGTAAGGAGTACCCGATGAGCCGGGCTGGACTGCTGTGGACAGGTCAGAACTGGTACTGGCTGCTCTGGACCTGGCAGGCCTGCACTGGATTGGCTGGTTGCGTTAGTTGGGACGTAACGGGACTTGCGTCCCCGTGCTGATCGAGCTGCAGCGGCCTGGACTGTCTGGATCAGACTGGGCTGACATCGTCGGGCGCACTGGATTTGACTGGGCTGGGCAGAACTAGCCTGAACTGACTCGACTGGCTATAGACTGGCTTGGCCGCCGGGTGGGTTAATCCGGACTGAGGTAGTCCAGGCCGGACGGGCTTGGTTGGACAGGACTGCAGCGGGCTGGACTTCCGTTGTCTGCGCTAGACAGGCTGGGCAGGGTTATGCTGAACTCGTCTGGGCGAGACTTGACCGGGAGGGACTCGACTGAACTGCGACCATTTGACTAGACTGGATTCTCTGGACTTGCTTAGACTGGTTTTGGAGTGGACTGGCATGGAAAAGACTCGCAGATTATGGACTGGGCTAGATCTGGCAAGACAGAGCTGGCTGGGACAGGGGTGGACTCGTTTGGACTGCATTTGACTGGGCTGGACTGGTCTGGAGCGGTCTAGGCTGTACTCGTCTGGACTGGACCTGGACCAGACTCCACCTGGGCTGGGCCCGTCTGGACTGGCCTGGACTGGACTGGGCATGGCTAGGTGCTGCAGTGGGATTCGACTGGAATGGGCTGGGCCAATTTGGATTGTGCTGTCCACTCTGCTCATCTCCTGCTGCTTTTCTTCCTGGTCTTCCGCCTTCTGCTGCTTCTCGTCCTCCTCTCCCACTTCTGGTGAAGCGGCGAACCAGTGAACCAAAGTCGTGCATGCACACCGTCCATCTCCTGTCACGTCATCTGCCTGTGTGTGGGGGGGGCGTGTGAAATGCCAGCGGGGGTGGCATGTCCAGCCCCTCTGTGGAAAGCACAACCACCTGGGCATGGTCAAGGCCCGACTGGGGTGGACAGCCTGATCCCAATATTGGGGGATCGGCACAGCCTCGCAGGGGAAAGGCACGCCCTGGGCGCGGGAGATAGCCCCAACGCAGAGCACCCGACGGGGGTCGATTGCACCCCCCCCCCGCCCCCAGGGTGGGACTGCGGAGGCCACAGGCGCGGACAGGGGGTGCCGAAAGCACAGCACCCGAGGTGGTGATAAACTGTACCGTTCGCCTGTGCTCCCCCCCTCCCGCCTCTGTCGTTAGGTAGGGCATGTCCCCCTACAAGCGTTTTTTGGGCGAACACTAAAACATACCCGCAACATATCTTGTAACATGAGGAGAAAACATACAAGACAAATCGTCCCCAGACAATTTTTTCGACTATTTTTTAATATTCCTCCTGTAGAAACTCTGTCGAACCACTTCCACGGCGCACGCTCCGATGCCGCTCGATCGGACGCCCTTCCACCACGGCGCCGCGGCCCGTGTAGCTCGGCACGCCACCGGGTCCGCGCCCCTCGCCACCGGCGGGACCGCCAGGGGCGCTCGCGGTTTCTGCGCGACCGAGGGCGGCAGCCGACGGCGCCTGCCGCTGCTGTCGCGCGCGGCGCTGGCCAGGTGGCGGCGGCTGCGGTCGGGGCCTCCAGCGGCGGCGGGGGCGACCTTCGAACAAGTGTTACACAAAAACAAGTGTGATAAACAGCTGTGCTATCACACGTTTTTTTTTTTTTTTTTTTTTTTTTTTTTTTTTTTTTTTTTTTTTTTTTTTTTTTTTTTTTTTTTTTTTTTTTTTTTTTTTTTTTTTTTTTAAAATATATATATATAGGTATATATATATATAATTTTTGATATATGTTTATTATAACACTTGTTTTTTTTAGCACTCTTGTTTTTTTAATCACACTTGTTCGGAGCGCCTGGCGCCGGCGCCTTGTGCCGCTGGGGCGGCGCGGGTGGCCGGCGCACGCGCAGCCTGCTGGCCGCCAGAGCGCGCCTGCGTGCAGCGGGGCCCGCCCGGGGGCAGGCGCCGTGTGCCGCTGGGGCGGCGCGTGTGGCGGCCGCCAGAGCGTGCCTGCGTGGGGCGGGGCCCGGGAGAGTTTCAGTGGCCTCACGGCTCTCGGACGCCTCAGCCCGCAGCGCGTTCAGGGCCATCGCGACGCGGGGCGCCTCGCCGACGCCGGCGCGCTGCGTCGACGGCAGCACGGGCGACGCGGCAGTCCGCCGAAGGTGATGCCCTCGGGTCCATCAGCATGTTTCTCTGTGCGCAGCATGATTCTCTTCATCCTGCTCAGGCCTCCGCCAGCCATGAGTGAGGCCGAATGCGAAGAGTGAAACCACTCGCCGTCAGATGCCCGCAACGCCACGGGCGGACAAATCCTGCCCCTCCCCTGTGGACTGCAGGGGCACAAACAACTGTCACGGACTCGGTGCGCAGGCGACTTTCCGCCACGAGCGCTCTCCCAACAAAACGTGGCTCCTTTCCCGCCGCGGGGGCGAGGTCTCGGACGGCAAGCTGTTCCACTGTCGGCAACAACAGGAGTGACAGACTGACTAACCCCTCGCTGTGCATGATGATGATGATGATGATGATGATGAGGAGGAGGAGGAGGAGGAGGAGGAGGAGGAGGAGGGGGAGGAGGAAGAGGAGGAGGAGGATGAGGAGGAGGAGGAAGTGGAGGAGGAGGAGGAAGTGGAGGAGGAGGCGGAGGAGGAGGAGGTGGAGGAGGTGGAGGAGTAGGAGGAGGAGGAGGCAGCTTCGGGCCTGCGCGCCGCGGTCCCTGGCCGTCGACGGCAAGACACCGGCGACGGCATCTCGGGCGGTCGGCGCCGCCGAGCCGTAAGTCGGGCGCGTCCCCCTACAGGGGGATTTTCGACGAAGAATAAAACATAGTCAAACAAAAAACCCAAAGTAGTCAAAACAAACTAAAACAATCGTCCCCAGACTTTTTCTTTTTGAGCAAAAAACCAAAAACAACTATTTTTGAATATTCCTCCTGTGGAGGGACAAGCCCGATTTAAGCCGATCCTGTGCGCCCAGCTGATGCCGTTGCCCAATCGCGTGCAGGGCCTCGGCGTCGCCTCTTCAACCTGGAGGCCTGCGACGTGTCCGAACGTCTGGCGGTCGCCGATCGCAACATCGAGGATCTGATCATCGAGAGGGCACACTTTTTCTTGTTGTTTTTATTTTTCCGGGGCTAGCGGGCGCTCTAGGGTTCTTTGGAGTCCTCGGGCCTCAAGCGAAGCGGACGACGCAGCGGCCACATGCACATGCACGCGGCCTTCAAGCCAACGATGGTCTGCAACGTGGACTGGGCCCCTGGGTGCTGCCCGGTCCACCTTCAGTCCGTCGGAATGGAGCTGTCAACTCGGAACACATGTTGCAGCTTGTGCCCGTCGTCCAAGCCGGCAGTGATCCGGGCGTGATGGAGTCGCTCGGACCCGCCATGGAAAGATGAGGGGTGACGACAGGGGGGGACTGGCGCAGGGGGGACACACCGACCTGGGATCGGCGATAGATCGGCGATGCGCGCCCGATAGCAACGCCGCACGTTCCTGGGCGCGGTGGGCTATCGGGCACCTGTCGGTGATGAAGGGGCGATTTGGGGTCGATGGCTTCCTCCCTGAGCCTAGTCACCCCTTAACGTTGCCCCACGAGACGACCCTGTCGTGGGCGAGAGCGTCATGGTGGACGCGGATCTCACGGAGCGGCACGAGCATGGCCAGCCCGTCGCGGTGGCCATGCCGAGGCTGATGATTGGGGGCCGCTCGTGCCCGTCGGCCCGGAGGGCATCGGCTCGGACGCGACGCGGCCGCCCGAGGCCTCTCGGGGTGACGCCCTCGGGACCGAGCTGCGCGAGAGGGCTCGGCGCCAGGAGGCAAGTCTGAGATGGATGGACTCGCGAAATAGCGTCGGCTCGAACGCGGGTCGGATCGCCAGCGACTCGGCCCGAACCGCATCCACATCGGATCGCTCTGCCAGGCTCTGGCTGGCCGTGGCCCATGCCGATGGACCTGTCCGAATCGAACTGGACCGGAATCGAGGGCCCAGCCGGCGAACCGAATCGCATCGAATTGGGTCGCAGGCGGGCCTGGGAGGCCCGCGCTCGGCCGAACCCTGTCGATGACCCCCGACGGAAGTGCTGAGCCCCAGCTTGCGGAGCTCGCGAGCCTGGAGACGCCGGTCGAGCACTCACCAATCTGCCCCTTGCTGTGGGAGGAACAGCCCATCACAGACCAACAGACCCTGGCCAAACCCGGGCAAGCCTCCTGGCCGGCCCCCTCCGCTCCAGCCCTGGTCAGGGCCGTTCTTCCCCCGAGGCGTGACACGTCCAGGCTGGTCGCACCTCTGGGCTTCCACTCGGAGGTGCTGCGGACCCTTTCGCTCGTGGGATCGCCTGCTTCCGTGGCGTTGGCGCGCCATCATCAAGTTCAAGCGCTTTGCGCTCCTGTTTCCGCCCCTCTTTGGGTTGCTGCGGGCCCTCTCGCTCGGTGGCGCCCCCGTATTTTGTTGTTGTTGTTGTTGAACATTATTTATTCTAAAGAATAATTATTGTTGGGCCCCCTGGTGCGCGCCCCCCCTGCGCCGCCTAGGCCGCAGCTACATTTCTATCATTTTCGTGAGGAAGCCTCAGAAAAGAGGGTGTGTACAGGATCCGGTTGTTTTGTTGTAATCCGCTTTCCCTTGCAAAAAACAATAGAAAATGACATTTCTTGTTCTAATATAATCAAATTTCAAGAATCCCTTGCAAAAAATAAGGTAAAGTGGACATTCGCGCGCGCAAGACGAAATCCTTCCAAAACCTTAGTGTTCGCAGCGATTTTAACATAAAAACATCAAAAAACCAATGGTTTTTCAACAAAAAATTGTCAAAATCTCATCCCGCGCGCTCTTGCGGATTCGTAGGAAACCCAACACTTTTTAAACATTTCTGTCAAACGGGCTTTTGCGAGCAACTTTTTCGAACTTCTGCGACAACGGTTGCGCACCTGCCAGGGCCATCATCCCTGTCAAATAATACCATGCGGGACACATTCGTTTTTTCTTCGCGCGCGCACGCCGTCGTCGTCGGCCGCGGGGCCCTGAATAGTAGCCACGGTCGTCCGCATGCCACGAAGTGAAGTGTCCGAACGTCATAGGGCGGGAAGCTGGGTGTGGGTGGTGGCGAAGAGTCGTTGGAAATTTGGTAGAGCTTGAACCGGCCCCCCCACAAAGTGGGGGTATTGCCCGCCTCCTATGAAAACCCTGGCACTGGTGAGAACGGAGTGTCCCCACGTGCTAGTAATTGTTGTTGTTGTTGTTGTTGTTGCGGCGGCGGCGGCGGCCATTGGACTAGATCGTTCCTCCCGGTTCTCCTGCTGGTCTTGCTGGTCTTGCAGCGTGCTTAGGCGTCAAGTTACCGAAGTCGGACGCGGGACTGGGCAAAGAACCAGCGGAATGCTCTCCCTGCTCCCCTACTCTTCCGTGCCCCTCGTATTTCCCGGGGCCCGGCGGATCTCGTCTTGGAGCGAGGAGGCAGCACTGGCGGTGCTGCTGCCGCTGCTGCCGCTGCTCCTGTTCCAATTGGCGCAGACCGCCGTGTCTGATTCCATGAGCGAGACCAAGGGCGCACGTGGGCGGGCCTGCAGAGCCGTGTCATGGCACGGCCAACGGGCGACGGGTGGCGAGACTAGGTCCTGCACACCTCCTGCCCACCTCCTCCTTCTCCTCCTCCTCGCCCTCCTCCTTTTCCTCCTCCACTTCCTCCTCCTCTTCCCCCCACTCCTTCTCCACTTCTCCTCCTCCCCCCACTCCTCCTCCTCCTCCTCCTCCTCCTCCTCCTCCTCCTCCTCCTCCTCCTCCTCCTCCTCCTCCTCCTCCTCCTCCGCCAGCCATCCAACTGGTGCGGCAGTCACACGGCTGAGCCAATGGAAAACAGAGAGCGGGACAGGGAAGGGGTGAGGCAGGGGACCAACCTCCTCCTCCTCCTCTTCTTTCTCCTCCTCCGCCTCCTCCTCCTCCTCCTCCTCGTCCTCCTCCTCCTCCAATCCCCTCCCCCATTCCTCGGTGCTCAATGCTCAGTGCTCGCTGCTTCCTCCCTCCTCCTCCTCCTCCTCCTCCTCCTCCTCCTCCTCCTCTTTCTCCTCCTTCCTCCTCCTCCTCCTCCTCCTGCTCCTCCTCCTCCTCTCCTTTTCCTTCTAAGCAATTTCTCCCTGTCGCACCCCGAGGCTAGTTTTGAGTGCTTGCCGGGCGTTTCGCCTGAGACTTCCTCACAATTTATGACTCTGAAGCTAAGAGGATGACAACAGTTTCACAGATGGAGGGCGGATGGTTTTCAACATGTGGCTCTCGCCATAGCGCTGCGCACATTCGTTTTCAACACTTGCAAGAGTTTCGCGGATTGAGGGCGAATCGTTTTCAACATGTGGCTCTCGCCTTAGCGCCGCGCACATTCGCTTTCAACACTTGCAAAGAGTTTCGCGGATTGAGGGCGGGTCGTTTTCAGCATGTGGCTCTCGCCTTAGCGCTGCGCACATTCGCTTTCAACAGTTGCAAGAGTTTCACGGATTGAGGGCGGGTGGTTTTCAAAATGTGGCTTTCGCCTTAGCGCCGCGCACACAAAACAACAGGTGCAAGAGTTACACGGATTGAGGGCGGTTCCTTTTCAAAATGTGGCTCTCGCCTCAGCGCCGCGCACATTCGCTTTGAACATGTGCAAGAGTTTCACGGATTCCCATCATCAGCGTACCAGACATAGCGTTTTGGAAGGATTCATGGTTATGTGGGTGCAGCAATTATGCTGATTCGCGGTGCTGAAATCCCAAAAATGGCGTTCTGGCACGATTCCGGATCGTCAAGACGCGCAGTCAGGTTGATCCGTAGCCTTCCAACGAGGCAATGCCCTCGATGGAAATGAAGCTTTATAGGGACCTATGAAGAGGGAGCTTGAAGGCAGGAGTAATTCCAACATCGTTAGTGACCCTTGGGTGTACACTGGTCCTTCTCTTCCTCCTCCTCCTCCTCCTCCCTCCCCTCCTCCCCCGCCTCGTAGGCGGGGGTGGGGTGTGGGAATGGGCAGCCTGCACGTCGAACTTCCGCAGCCTCTGCGGAGAGGCGCTGCCCCTGGCGTGCGGCCGGGGGAGCGCGACCGGGGGAGGAGATCGTCGTGCGGGGGTGGACGAGGAGAGGGCATGACCGAGGAAGATGGGAGGAGGCCAGAAGAGGGATAGGAGGAGGAGGAGGAGGAGGAGGAGGAGGAGGAGGAGGAGGAGGATGGAGGAGGAGGAGGGAGGAGGAGGAGGAGGAGGAGGAGGAGGAGAGGAGGAGGAGGAGAGGAGGAGGAGGAGGAGGAGGAGGAGCGGAGGAGGAGGAGGTTGCGCCGCGTCGATTTGGCATTCGCCTGCGCACCCTCAAGAACGCCACATGCACTCGCTTTAGGTCCACGCAGCGTCAAACATGATGATGATGATGATGATGATGATGATGATGATGATGATGATGATGATGATGATGATGATGATGATGATGATGATGATGATGATGCTGAGGAGGAGGAGGAGGAGGAGGAGGAGGAGGAGGAGGAGGAGGAGGAGGAGAAGGAGGGCGAGGAGGAGGAGGAGGAGGAGGAGGACCAGGAGGATTCAAAAAACATCTGGGCCCGCTTCCCGGAGGTTTCTTCAAACGGACCTGGGCCGACTTCTGTGCGCTGGAGGCGAGCGTGCGCCATCGCCGATGGATCGGCGATAGGCCCGCGACGACCGATCGGCGCGCTCCTGGACGGGGTGGGCCATCAGGCCCCTGTCGGCGATCGAAGGGGGATCGGGGGTCGATGCGTCCCCACCGGAGCCTATCCCCCTCGAGCGCTGCCCCCGAGGGGGGCGGGAGCCCCCCCTCGTGCCCGAGAGGCTCCGAGCGGAGGCCTCCCTGGGCGCCCTCTTGCGTCGCCGCAGAGACCACCTTTCCCTCCGCCAGTGCCGTGGCACCACAGCCGCGGCGCAGCATGCGCGGGCGGCGAGCACTCTTCCGTCGGCGGCGAGGCAGAGGCACTCCGCCACAGCGTGTGGCTATTCGGGGCAGCCAGAAGGCGAATTGCCCGGCGTGCAAGAGGGCGGGAAACACGACGAAAGGGGCGGTGAGCACTCATCGATTGCACTCCGCGCCGAGGATGATGAGAGCTGGGCTGTGTCGAGAGCTGCCGCAGAGACCACGCGCCCTGGAGGCACAGGCCGCGGCCAGAGGGCCTGGCCCCGCCTCCGCGCAGGACCTGTTCGGGGGCGGGATATCGCTCTGGGGCGGGGGGAGAAAGAACAGAGAGGGCTCCTCCCTCCCCCCTCCCTCCCCCCTGCCTACCCCCTCCTCCTCCTCCTCCTCCGCCGCCGCCGCCGCCGCCGCAGCCGCCACTGCCGCCGCCGCCGCCTTCGCCTCCGCCTCCGCCACCTCCTCTTCCCTCCCCCTCCTCCTCCTTCTCCTCCTCCTCCTCCTCCTCCTCCTCCTCCTCCTCCTCTTTTAACCTTCTCCTCCCTCAACCTCCTCCTCTTTCTCCTCATTCAGCCTTCTCCTCCCTCAACCTCCCCCTCCTCCTCCTGGGGGGGCAGGGGGGGGAGCATGGCGCAGAAGCGACGAGCCTCTGCTCGGCCAGCTGCCGCGCAGCGGCGGGCGGGCAGCAGCGGCAGCACAGCCGACGGGCTGCCACGGAGCCGGCGGAGGTGGGAAGTGGTGGGTTAATCCTAACCTCTTCTGTCTCCTCCTCCTCCTCCTCCTCCTCCTCCTCCTCCTCCTCCTGCTCCTCCTCATCCTTCAGAAGAACCGTGCCACGTTTTGGAGGGCCGATGCTTACTTCCGCCGGCGTCCGCCGGCCTTGCGCTGCTGGCCGAGGCGGCCTCGTTTTACTTCCACCGCCTGCCGCCGAGGAAGAGATGGTAGCTCCTGCGATCCTCGGAGGCGAGGCGAGGCCGTTGCTGGAGCGGCTCAGGCGGTGGTGGTGGGTGATGGGCCTGTTGTCCACCACCACCGCCATAAGTTGGAGGGGGAGGGGGTCCTCCTCCTCCTCCTCCTTCTCCTCCTCTTCGTCCTTCTCCTCCTCGTACTCCACCTCCTTCCCCCCTCCAGCTTGTGGTGGTGGTGGTGGTGGAAAACAGGCCCATCGGTGGGGGTGCGTGCGAGTGAAGGGCGGGAGACGCCGAAAAGAGAGTGGGGAGGAGGATGATGAGGCGGCGAGGACGAGGCGGATCGACCACGGTCAGGGCAGGTGCCCCATCGGTGGGCCCTGGTGTTCCAAGGTCTCCGGTTCTTTGTGCGTCCCGAGGCGTTACGCATGCTCCTTTCCCGTGCGAAGCAGCTCCCGCACTCCAAGGGCGGCTGTTGCAGCGTACAAGAGCAGCGACGCGATGCAGAAGAAGCCGTGCCCGCCCAGCGCCCGCGCCATCAGCAGCCTGTGGTACAGTACGACCAGATCAAAGAAGTTCCCGCCAAATCCGAAGCCCTGGCCATCCTCGGCGGCGCGCACAGGGGTTTCACGCGCGGGGCGGCGGCCCTGAAGATGGCAGGAGACACTTCCTGGAGGGGCTCGGGAGCCTCTGCTGTGAAGGCCTCCCACACGGCAGGATTAGTCAGCATCGCATCGGGAAGCCCGATGGGATCGGCATCTTTGGGCGCGAATGAATGGGGGGCGGTAAACATTGGGGGAGGGGAAGAATCGTGGTCTTTTCGGGTCCTGAAAGCTCCCTTCTAGGCCCTCAAAGGCTCCGCTAGGAGCTTGAAGGGCTCCTTTCTGACTCTCGCTGCCCCCCCCCCTTTTATCCCCCTCCATTGCGCGTCCTCCGAAAGTTTCGGATCGAGTTGCACCGACACGGAGCCAGAAACGGATCGGGCCGCCCCCGCCAAGATGCACGACCATGCCCCTGCGAACAGCGGGCCGCATCGGACCGCCGAAAGATCGGAACCAAATCGGAGAGCGGGCGGGCCATTATGGATACGGTGAGGGCCTTGGATAAGGAAACGCTGGATAAGGAATCCAGGGCCTGGAAAGCCGTTGGAACTCCCATCGCGGAGTGGCCATGGATACCACGGCAGCCCTCCTCAGACCAGGAATCCTCCAGGGCCTGAAAGCCTCCCGCGCACACATTCTTCACCAGCAACCCCCCACCGCACCGAGTCGAGATCGAAGTGGGCCCCTGCCTGGTAGGGAGGGCCCCTCGAGCAGCCCCCGCCCTCTTTCGTGACCGCCGCCCGCCTCGCCCAGGCCCCATGCGCTCCGACGACGGGGCTCCGAGGGAGGGGGCCTCTTCGGGAGGCGCGGCCTCGAGCAGGGAGGGCTCAGCCCGGAGGCTCCTGCCCATCCCTGGGGCCCCCGTCCCTCGGCCCCCCCGACACTGTGCTTGCTCTCCTAACCGTCGACCCCCAGAGAGTGGTCAGGACCCCTTCCTTGGCGCGAGCACCGTTTCTTCGTTCTGAGCGGATGTTTGACGGTCCCGGGGCCGGGTCGGGGCCACTGGCTGCCGAACGCCGCAAGAAGAACCATTCGTCGTGCCCTTCCCCACGACGCGAAGGGGTCTAGGAACCCTAATCCACGTGTTAGGGTGGAGGGTTCAGGGTGAAATCCATATGGGCTTTTGCACCTCGAAAATCAATTCGTCTTGTGATTCACCTCTTGCAGGTTCAAGCCTCGAAAATCCATGGAAACGGCATTTCAGATTTCACCCATTGCCCTCCACCCGAAGAAAATGCTCAGGAACCGCCGACGGCCCCCCTCTCTGCGCGCCGCCGGCATCCCCCTTCGAGATGCCAGTGTTGATGATGCTCACCATCATGCTCATCGACGCCGCCATGAAGCACAGCGCGACGCGCCGGGCGCCACCGAAGCCCACGAATGCGAAGGTCGACAGGCAGGCGGCTAGGCCGATGAGCCCGATCATGAAGGTCACGTTGCAGCCAATCCACTCGAGCTGGTAGTCCTGAGATGAGGCGAAGCCAGGATCGGGCGCTGCTTCTCGGGGAGGCGAGAGAAGAAGTAGGCAGAGACATGAAGTAGGAAGGCGTTGAGAGTAGTTTGGGTGTCCGCCCGCCCCCTAAGGAGGACGAGAAAGGTGAAGCCACTCGATCATTGAAGTAGGAAGGCGCTTAAAGTAGATGGGAATATGGGAATCCCAAGATACATATTTTCAACGACCGATGGGTAAGGGTGGGAAGGAAGAAACGTGCACCTCTCGCGCCCCTTTTGGGCCCCACGGGGCCCCTGTACGGCACAGAAGATGCACCTTTCTTCACGCCCCCAGTGATCGCCCCTCCCCACCAATACACAACGCCCGACTGGACTGGGACAACATCGGACCGGCGCAACGCGGTGATCTCTGAGCTCGGCTCTGGAGGACATATCGGGCGACGCGCCTGTTCCAGGGCGCTCCAAAGTGCTCTGAGAGCGTTCCGCAACGCTTCAGGACGACTTACCCTGATGAGCCCTGGGCGCCATCCAGCGCGGAGGCAGCTGTCAAGCTCTGTCTTGAGCTGAAGGCCAAGGTACGGCCGCCTTGCAGGCGGTGTGCTTCCAGAACCACGCGGCATTGCGCTCGATACCGAACTCTCTGGCACGTGAGGGGAAGACCTTCACTCCTCTGGCCCCGGAGGTGGCTGGCTCCAGTGCTCAGTGACACAGAGAAATCAGTAGGAGAAACAACACACACATACACAATGCATCGTCGATTCACAGGAACATATGCGAACATATGGGAATTGTGTGTGTGTGTGTGGGAAGACGCAGATCCCAAACATGTGGAAAAATATATGGGGAATCCTGGGATTTGTGTGTACTTACCTGTGTGTCCCTGGGCCCCTGCAAGCAGGGCAGGCCGAGGACGGTGGCTGCCCTGGGGGCTGGCCTGGCCCAGCCCGGCGTCGGTGCAGTGCCGGCAGGCCAGGCCGGGGAGTGCGGCCAGCCCTGCCCAGAGAGAGGCCCGCGGTGGGCCTGGCCACGCCGTACCGTCGGGCAACAAGGAGCCTCCTCCTGCTCCTCCTCCTCCTCCTCCTCCTCCTCCTCCTCCTGATCCTCCTCCTCCTCCTCCTCCTCCACCTCCTCCTCCTCCTCCTCCTCCTCCACCACAAGAAACCCACCCTGAGACCCCAGGACGTCCATCTCGGTTTTTGGTACGGGAGCGGCGCGCTCTCCATCGCAGAACCATGGAAGCCCGAGACACCGAGGGCACCCTGGAGGCAGACGGGGTGCTTCTTGGCATGGGCCTCCACTGCACGGCAAGCCCGTGCCATGACGACTTGTGCGCTGGCTTCCGGCACCGCGTGGATCGCTCCGCCTCGAGCGCTTGCGGCCCACGTCCGACATCGGCCGGATCCGGGCCGCCGCCGCGTCACCTCGGCGCGAGGTTGCCGCACCTGCGTGTGCTTCACAAATTCGGCGTCGGAGAACGGTTGGCACGGCGGGCTGGGGAGGGGTTATACACCGGTTCTGCGGTAGAGGGACAAAAATTAGTGGGCACTCCCCCGCTCCCCCAAACTCAAAGTTGGCACGCGCGGGAAAGACTACGGTCGAAGTGCAGCTCGTTGAACCCACCGCCAACATTGATCATTGGAGGGGGCATTGACAGATGAATGCGGCATGAGTGTTCGTCAATCTCTTCCGAGGCCTGTGTGGCTCAGAGTGGGCCTGGCCTGGCTCGGTGCTGGGTGCATGAGGCATTTGGTGGACTCCGCACCAGCCCCCAGGGCCCGAAAATGAGCCTGCTCAGGTTCGGTGGTGCGCGGCTGGCGTCGCCCGCAGTCCCGCTCGAGCAGCTGCATGACGCCCGCCGCGGGAGCGTGACTCGCCTCCGTGAGCTTGTTCGCGGCGATGGTCGCCCACATAATCGACTGCAGCTCGCTGCAGATGGCGAGCGTGGCGAGCAGGTAGTGCGTGAGCTTGACCCGTCGCACGACGGCTCCGTCCTCCGGCGACACCTTCGGGCTCGCGACGAAGCCGAGGGGCACCAGGCTGCCCGCGATGAACGCGGCCGGCATGCGCATGTTTCGGCGGCGCGCCGAGGGGGGCGCGAGGAGGAGGGGGCGTGCCTTTCTCGGAAGGCTCAGAGAGCCCTTTGGAACAGCCTTCGACGCCTCCTCCGGAGGCGCAAGCGGCTCCTCAGACGGCGCGAGGGCCTTCGAGCAACCCCACAGCCCTCCGAGAGGGCCCGCCCCCTCGATGGTCCTCGTCCCCTGGCTCTCGGGTCCGTGCCTCGGGTCTCTGGCGGCCGCTCGGGGCCAGTCCAGGGCGCCCCAGGACGCCTCCGGGCGAGGCGCCGCCGCTGGACAACACCGGCCCGACATCTTGAAAACCTCGGAGCGGCGGCGAGCAAAGGGGGGGAATGCCGAGGGAGGGGCCTGGCAGTGCAGCGTGGGCATGGGGGAGGGGGAGGAGGAGAAGAAGGAGGAAGAGGAGGAGGAGGAGGAGGCGGAGGAGGAGGAAGCGGAGGAGGAGGAGGAGGAGGAGGAGGAGGAGGAGGCGGAGGAGGAGGAGGAGGAGGAGGAGGAGGAGGAGGAGCAGGAGGATGAGCAGGAGGAGGAGGAGGAGCAGGAGGAGGAGGAGGAGGAGCAGGAGGAGCAGGAGGAGGAGGACCAGTGTAAACCCAAAAGTCATCAACGATGTTGGAATTAACCCTCCCTCCAAGCTCCCTCTTCATAATCCCCTGCAACGGTTCATTCCCATTGAGGGACCTGCCTCGTTGGAAGGAAAACCATTTGAAGATCTTGAAGCATGCCAAAACATTATTCTCGGGATTTCCACGCCACGGATCAACCTGACTGCTGCGTCCTGGCGATCTGGAATCGTGCCAGAACGCCGTTTTTGGGACTTCAACACCGCGAAACAACATAACTGTTGCACCCGCATAATCCTGATCCTTCCAAATCACCATTTTGCGGTACGCCGTTCATGGGAATCCGTGAAACTCTGGTTGCGAGTTTTTTAAACGAACGTGCGCGGCGCAAGGGCGAGAACCACATTTCGGAATGAGCCGCCCTCACTCCGTGAAGCTCTTGCGAAGTGTTAAAACGAATGTACGCGGCGCTAAGACGAGAACCACTTTTTGAGACCCACCCGCCCTCAATCCGTGAAACTCTGGGCAACTTGTTAAAACAAATGTGTGCGGCGCTAAGGCGAGAGCCACATAAAAAACACCCGCCCTCAATCCGTGAAACCCTTCCAAATGTTTAAAGCGAATGCGCGCGGCGCTAAGGCGAGAGCCCTTTTTTCAAAACGACCCGCCCTCCATCTGTGAAGCTGCTGCCATTTGTCAAGCTTCAGATTCATGAATCGTGAGGAAGTCTCAGGCGAAACGCCCGGTTCGCCCTAAAAACTGGCCTCGGGGTGCGACAGTGAGACATTTTCCCTACCTAGGCTCTGCCTAGAAGGGTTCTTACTCTCTTAGCTTAAAGGGCCGGGCAGTGCAAAGCGCCCCGGGCGGTTCCCCCAGTCCCCGCCCCGCGGTTCCCCCCAGTCACCTGGGAGCTTTAGCTTTAGCTTTAGCTTTAGCTTTAGCTTAGCTTTAGCTTAGCTGTAGCTTAGCGTTTCGCTTAGCTTTTCGCTAAGCGTTTCGCTTAGCGTTTCGCTTAGCTTTAGCTTAGCGTTTCGCTTAGCTTTAGCTTAGCTTTAGCTTAGCGTTAGCTTAGCGTTACTGTTACTACTAATGCTGCTTTCCTAGGGGTTCCAACTCCTAGGTAGGGTCGCACTGGGATAATTTATAAGGAAAAATGGGGAGGATGAGGAGGAGAAGGAGGAGGAGGAGGAGGAGGAGGAGGAGGAGGAGGAGGAGGAGGAGGAGGAGGGGGAGGAGGGGGAGGAGCAGGGAGCGGGGCGCAACAATTCGGGCGGAAGGCCCGACGCTCCCGGACCCCCCCCCCTCGGCGCGCAGCCGCCATGTTGTTGAAGAGCGCGGCGGCCTGGCCGCTGAAGTCGGCGAGCACCGCCGTCGCCCGCCCGCCGCGGCGCCCGCCCCCGCCGGTCGCGAGGCCCCAGCGGCGGCGCGCGCGCACCCCAAGGAAGCACGTCTGCCTGGTGGGCGAGCAGACGTCCGGGGGAGCAGGGAGTAATGCGAAGGGGCCCAGGGACACACAAACAACCAAATACACACAACTCCCAAGGTCCCCGGGCCCCCCCATCGTTTCCGCTATCGTACGGGATCTCGTCGCCCCCTCCCCACTTCCCATCTTCTCCCAACCTTTCCTGGGAATCGACGCGGAATTGTGTCTGTGAATGTTTTCCCCTCCTGATAATGAAGGGGGCCGGCAGAACGCGACCGCGCTGGGTGGAAGGGGGGGGGGGGCCAAGGCGCGCACTCCGAGCAAGCTGCACACGTGCGCGCGCGCGTTTCACGGCACCTACCCCCTACCCCCCGTGGCTCCTCGCGGCGCCCGCTGGAGCCAAATGATGGGCACGCCGCACGCCAAGGGTCCAGCCCCCCCCCCCCCCCTGGGCACGCCGCTCGACCCTGTCAGCTCCGCAGGCCCGTGGCCGACCCAACCCGAAGCCGAGGCTGGCGAAAGCGTCGGGGGGGGCCAGTTCAGGGGGGGAAAGATCGAGCCGGAATCGGCGATGCGTCGCCGATAGACCGGGCATCTGCCCCCGCCAGCAAGCCTGCACGATCCTGGGCGGGGTGGGTCTGTCGGGCCGTTTTTTCGGTTCGTGGGACGTTTGGAGGTCGATGCGTCCCCCCGGATCCTGTCCCCTCGGAATCTTGCCCCTGACGTGAGATAGTGAGAGGGCCGCACGTCCAACGTTAAACATCATGCACGCTCCTCGACCATACGTGCCACCCTTGCCCAAGGGCCATACTGACCTTGCCAGTGTCGTTCGAAGATGAAGGAGAGAAAGAGAGAGAGAGAGAGAGAGAGAGAGAGGAGGAGGAGGAGCAGGAGGAGAAGGAGGAGAAGGAGGAGGAGGAGGAAGAGGAGAGGGAGGAGAAGGATGCGATGCGATGCGACCACTGTTGCGGACAGCGTCCAGGCCTAGAGCAGACCAGGGTGGGTGAGGCCATGGCCTCTAGGATCTGAGGTGTCTGGATTCATGCATTGCGAGACATGTAAAAAGGAGGAGGAGGAGGAGGAGGAGGAGGAGGAGGAGGAGGAGGAGGAGGAGGAGGAGGAGGAGGAGGAGGAGGAGGAGGAGGAGGAGGAGGAGGAGGAGGAGGAGGGGGAAGAGCAGGGAGCATGGCGCAACAGTTCGGGCGGGATGTCCGTACGGGCGCGAGGGCTGCGAGCGCCCGCCGCGCGGGGAAACTACCCTCCCCCCTGGCGCGGTCTCTGAGATCCCTGCCTGATAACATACGCGGGAGGTGGTCGTACGAGCGAGACTCGCCTCCTCTGCACGCCCGCGGGCAGAGAGACGCCGGCTGCACTCACGCTCTGGCATGCGTGATACGACGCCCGGGCAATAGCGGCGCCACCTTGGAGCCCCCCTCCCGTGGCGGCCCAATAAGAGGGCAACGGAACAAGAGCCAGCTGTTCGCGGAGCCCACTGCGGGACGAGGGGCGCGAGCACTGGTGCGCCGCGTGTTGAACAGCAGAGGGCCTGGAGGCTGTCCTGGAGGCGCGCCCAGAGGGAAGCGGCAGGTCGGAAGACCTGCTGGGGTCCGTCCCGCGCAGCTTCCGCTCGGTGGGGCCTGTCAAGCAAAGGAGCTGACTGTTCCTGGATGTGGTGGAGAGATTGGGCGAGGTGGTTGGCCCGCTGATGCAGCGCGTTGGTGGTAGCAGTGAAGGGCGCTTGGCGGTCACCCTCTGACTGCCGACTGGCCGATGAAGGGTGCTGCGTGAGGGATTGCCTACGGTCTGTTCGCCGGGTCCCTGTCGCGCCGAACCCTGTTCCGAAGGCGGTTGCTGGCCATTCGCTGCTCCTCGTACCCTGGTGGGAGGAGGAGCTGGCCTGGTGGTGGGGGGCGCTGGTGGTGACGGCCTGATCCTGTCGACCGTCGGCGGCTCGTTCCTGGCCGTCGGGGGGGCTTGGCTGCCTCGCGTCGTGGTGGTCACGACCGCTGTGGTCGTCTCCGCAAGGGCTCTGGGAAGGGGGGGGGGGGAGAGGGGGCATCGTTACCTTCGTCTTCGTTCAAGGAGGCGCCACGCCCTATCGGGGCTTGTTCTTCGAAGTCGAAATCGTCACCCGCCCATGGGTCGTTGAGGTGATCCACGTAGTGATGCCCTGGTGGACCGTCGAAATTCGCCGGCCCAACGGGCCAGGGCGTGCTAAGATCTCCGGTAACTGGTTAACAGTATTAACAGTATTTCTAGTTCGCGCGCGCGGGGCGGCCCCTGGGGGTCCCCCGGCGAAAAGTACCCCGACCAACGCCCGGTCGCCGCCCGACCGCCGCCCGACCGCCGCCCGACCAAGTCTACTCAGAGATGGTTTTCCTTCTGGGTGCGGCCTCTCAGGCTCCCCAGAGCGCGCTCAGAGTGCCCCAAGAGGCCCCCAAGACTGCCCAAGAGGCCCCCGAGACGCCCAAAGAGCGCTCGAAGACGCCGAAGATGACCCCAAGACGGCCCAAAAGGCCCCCAAGACAGCCCAAGAGGCCTCCAAGACGCCCCAAGAGCCTTCCAAGAGGCCTCCGAAGAGAGCCCCAAGAGGCCAAAATCGTTGATTTTCATTGTTTTTTTCGATGTTTTTTGTGTTCTGGCTTTTTCGGCTTCCGGACGCTCCAAGACGGCCCAAGAGGCCCCCAAGACCGCTCCAAGACGGCCCACGAAGCTCCCAAGACGGCGCCGAAACGACCCAAGAGAGCCCTCAAGACGGCCCAAGTGCCGCCCAAGACGGACCAAGAGGCCCCAAGACGGGCCCAAGAGGGACTCAGGAGGGATACCGAGAACTCAAAAATGGAGCCCTCCGTCCCAGAAGGCGCCCAGGAGGTCCCAAAGAGGCCCCAAGAGGCCTCCAAGAGGCCCCAAGATGTCGCCAAGAGGCCCCAGGAGACTCCCAGGAGGCCCAAAAGAAGCCCCAGAAGGCTTCAAACATGTCTCCCAGGCGCCCCCGAACGGCCTCTCAA